TGTCCCTGGAGTAGATGCCCTAGGTCTGCTTGGTTTGAAAAGGCTTTGCTGGGTGCTACCACCTCAGCCAGCAGAACCATGGACAGGAGAAGGACTTGGACACACTATGGACAAGGGCTCAGCTGACACCTGTCAGACCCAGGTTGTGGAGAGCCCAGCTAGAGGAAAAGAAATCCAGAGGAGCTACAGGTAATCCACCCTTCTCCAGGGCTTGACAAACCCTAGGGCTGCAGAGACAGGAACCAAAAAACCACATTTTCCCCTGCTTTTATTAAAAATTAGTGTTATGAGTTGTTCAGATGATCTGAATTTAGTTGAGCAGGCTAAAACTAAATTCCAGGTACATGCTCCATTGTTGAGTTAAAAATTCAAACAATTAGTAGTCCAAAAACACTTGCAATAAGGAATGTGCGCTCTGCAGCTCAGGTAAGTCATACATTAACCAGTATTTTTGATGAAAAGCTAAAACCCTGATGTGCAAGGGTGTCTCCAAAGAAAGAACCATTCTTTTAGGACGTTTCTGCTAACTGGGGTGCAGAGGGTTAAGAAATCCTGTGATAAGCTGATAGGACTGGAATGCATTTTGACGTTTTTTGGCAGGTCAGCTTGTTAGAAGTGGCTGGTGTTTTGTTTAGATAAAGAAGAGAGGAACTTGGTGTTTGTAATCCATAAAATCGATGAAGAATTAGTTACATTAATTTTTAGAATGTTGACATAAGATAAAGCAAGCGGTGATAGAATATTCCGCTGATATAAATAGTAATGGAATTATGTTAGGTAATAGAGTATAAGTACTTGGAGTTAGATGTGGGATTACGTGTGCCCTGTGGAGCCGATTATTGAAGGTGTAAATTACCTTCCCTGAATACAGGTGTGCTGAAGCAGCTTTTCAGAGCTCTCCCCAAGGTGGAACCATGAGGCCTGCGCTGCCTTTTGTCTCCAAGTGTGCTGCCATTGCGAATGGGAATCCCAGCCTTGCCAAGACTAATTTTGCTGTTTGTGGCAAAGAAAACAAACTCATAGTATTTTGGATTTGTACAGACACACGTCTCTAGACGAACTTTATCTATGCATATGTAGCAAAAGGCATATAATGAATTCACCAAGCGAGCAACTTGAAATAATTTTAAACAATTAGGATTTTACTGAACAGGTATCTCGGGGTAAAGGAGGTTTAGGAATTGGTAAATACTTCACCCCCTTGCCATAGTTCATGGCTTGTGAGCCTTCGGAAGCAAAACTTTGTGTATCAGAAGATGAATGATTTAACATTTATTATGCAGTACAGCAGTGAGGCCCCAGTGACTTATTTAGGTCACTCTAGGTCTGTGGTTTTCCTGGTTTCATATCTTTCGCTGGGCAAAACTGTCAGCAGCAAAATACCTGTTGCAGAGCCCCACAGTAGTAAGAGAATAACAGGAGGTTATGTGGAGTTGCTGTAAAGGAAGTCAGGAATAGTTTTTTGCAGGACTATGGTAGTTTGTATGTGTGGCTCTAGATGGTAGAAGCTTTTTTGATAGGAGCGTTTCTCAGGATCTGTGTAAAGTGTTTCCAGGAGTTTCTGACTGGCATCAGCCTTGATTCAGGGATAAATTTCTACTTTCTACTGGGCAAAATAGAGGCAAGTGGGCCAAAAAAGAAAGCTCAAATGAATTAATTCTGGCTCATTCAGCCGAGATCCTCTCTCCTGGATGTGAATTTTTGTTTCCCCAGGGTTCCATGATGTTTGCCCAGTGCACCCAGAAGTGTGCAGGCTCCATGCTGCTGATGGCACTGCTGTGCTGCATCCCTTCTCCTCCAGCACAAGCCAGCAAGGTGAGTGAACAGCTTCAGACACAAGCACTGAACCTGTGCTTGTACTACTGTGTGTGTAGTACAACAGAAATGGCAGAGAAGCAACTGTTTTTCTGTGGAAGTTTGCAAAGATAAGGAACTCTACAGAAAACGTGTATTTATCCTATGTAGAGCTGTGAATGTATGTGACTGTGGCCTCTGCCCTGCTTTCTGCTATGTTTTGGAGTTTGCATTTTAAAATTTGTTTGAAAAGTACCTGGTGTCTGGAGCAGAGATGCTCAAGACATTTTAAAATTGTGAAGTTATTGATGCAAAAGAAGCAGCGCAGGAAGAAGAGACATGGTGTGAAGTCCTGTCTCTCTTAGAGAACGTTTTGCCTTTTCCCACAGTGCTGGGTGGTGAGGGCAGCAGAACTGTACGCACGTGTTCACTCACTAATGCTGTCTCCTCTTGCTTCTGCAGAGCTCGGAGGACATCCGCTGCAAGTGCATCTGTCCCCCGTACCGGAACATCAGTGGGCACATTTATAACAAGAACGTGTCGCAGAAGGACTGGTGAGTTGTGGGTTGAAGCTTGAGGCGTCAGTCCATGAAAGCCATGAGCGTTCTCCGCAGTTTCCAGCTGGTGCTGAGGAAGTAATTCCCTGCCTGTGCATTTGCAGAGGAAGCCGTTTCAGTAGGTGATGATCTACCCAGGCGAGGGGCGGATTTTGAATGGAGATTGAGGAATCTGGGAGACACGATTTCTTAAGCCTCAGCTCTCAGCAGATGTAGGGTGTATCCTCCAGTCCCTTTTACCTGGACCGGATCCCTGCAGAAGGTGTTTGGACAGTCTATCCCAGGAGCTTTGGGCTAGCTGAGCTGTGAGGGGAACTCTGAAAACCGGATCAGCATTATCAGCCTGATGGCAAAGCTGGGACACAGAAAAAGTCACCCCAGCATCCTTCCACAGAGCATTGGTTTCACCTTGTCCTTTTGCTGATTTTGGTTTCTTTGTGTTGCAGCAACTGCCTGCATGTTGTGGAGCCAATGCCGGTACCAGGGAATGATGTGGAGGCCTACTGCCTGCTGTGTGAATGCAAGTACGAGGAGCGCAGCACCACCACCATCAAGGTAATTGCAGGTCTGGTCCCTGTGGCTGGCTCCTTCTCCTTGCCATGCCGTGCCACCCCTGACACAGCTAGAGTGGTGGGTTCCTGGAGAAAAGCCCATAAAGGGAAAATAAAACTATCACAGCTAGTATACAGTGCCAGGGGCACTGTGTCTGAGTCAGGAGGGCTCCTGGCAGTGAGGAACAGGCTGCACAGGAGCCCAGACTTCTTGCTGAGGCTGTGCGGCAGAGCCAAGCACCTCTGCATGGGGACCGGTCTTGTTGGTCTCCTTTCATGTACAGCACGTGTCCTAAATTGGCAGAGTGCGGAGAAGATCAGCATGGTTTATGCAGTGATGGCACTTATGTCTCATCACCCTTCCTGCAAGTGCAAGAGAGTTTCTAGTGAGCAAAATTAGAATGGGAGAGATCAGACATCAGAGGGAGCTATGAAGGGAGCTTCCTGGCCTCTGTGGTGCTTATCTACACTACTGGTCCTTTTCCACTGTGTTGTCCTTAACTGCAGGTGATCATCATCATTTACTTGTCCGTGGTGGGGGCACTGCTGCTTTACATGGCTTTCCTTGTGCTGGTGGACCCTCTGATCCGAAAGCCAGATGCTTATACCCAGCCTCTGCACAATGAGGAGGAGAATGAGGTGAGGCTGTGCCGCTGGTGCATGCAGGGTGCACATGGGTGACTGTGGTCACAGTGGAGACAGGGTGGTAGGATGACAAGAGAATGGCCGACAGGGAAACAGTGACCTCATGCTTCTCCCCACTTGATCCAGCACGGGACCAGCACTGTGGCTTTTTGGGTACTTACCACAGGTAAACATTTAGACTCAAATCTGTGCAGATCACAGTGAAACACAAGGAAATATTCAAGACGAGACCTGTCCTCTGGGGCAGGAGGTGGCTTTTTACCAAATGGCCTGAAATTGGTATGTCCGTCTAGGTGAAACCGAAAGTCAAACGGTTCCTGTTTGTGCAGCGTCCTGGGTGTAGTTACTTGGTGGTGAGCTTCCAGGGAAGGATGGGTTTAATTATTTGCTGAAACATGGGGCTGGCCTCTCTTCTAGACACTTAAAAGAGCAGCCTCTGAGGTGCTGCTGTTTGCTCTGGGACTGGGCCCTGTTGTATCCAGGCTCTTGTTCCTTGTGCTTCTCCCTAGAGCAGATCCTGTCTTTTGGGGGGACATTGAGATTAGGACCCAGTGGCAAAGAAAGAGCCTGTCTCTCCCAGCTGCTGGGAGGAGACTCGTGAGGAGGCCTTCCCTAGCACTTGGGGACTCTGGGTGCTAGTGATTAGCTCAGTCACACTTTGAGAAGGGAAGCTGCAATGTTTGAAGATACTCTCCCTTCCTAGCCTCTGAAAAAAACACTCGATCCGACTGTCCTGTTTATACTTTGTTGTAAGTATAAGCTATTTCGCTCAATTCTTTCATACACTGATGTAAGTGAGGAGACCTGCACAGTCTATCCATTACCTCCCTCTGCTGAAAACAAGAGGTCCTGCAGGAGATGAATTGTATCCTAAAAGTAGGCTTTTGGTCGACTGCTCCACAGCAATAATTCAGATTTAGATCTAGATGCACACTGTAAATGCCCAATACTAGGCAAGGTTTATCTTACTCCAGTGTGCTGGACTGCAAACTCTTTGGGGTAGGCCTTGTGATTGCCTCGGTGTTTGTGTGCCACGGTGGATCCCCATCCAAGGGCCCTTCTGACATTGCTGCAGTGTAAATGTGGGTGGTTGGAGCAGTCGGAACAGCAGGGCTGGACAAAAGTCCTGCAGCACCATCTGAGAAACAGATGAGCAGCTGCTGTGTAAGCTAGTGCGCAGAGGACAGCGGAGATTGTTGTCCCAATTTCAGTGAGGTGATACAGTTTGCTTTAGCTGTGTGGCTCCTTGCAGACTCCTAGCACTGGATTTCCAGCAGAGGTTTAGATTTAGTGCATTTCCTTTCCTGGGGACTTTTTGTTTGGGGCCTGTGACTTTACCATGGGCAGTCCCCAAAAAGCAAGCTTTCCAGCTGGAGTTGGGGGACTGGTGTTGAGGAGCTCTGAAAATGAGGTCTTTCACTGGGACAACTCAAGCCTTGAAGTGCTCTTTCAGTTGAAATTTCTCCCAGAGTCAAGCTGCCACCTTCTGTGCTTGGGCTGGGCGTGCCTTGAACTTTTTCACTGTTTCTTTCCCTGGCAGGATGCTCGCTCCTTGGCCGCAGCCCCCACCCCGTCTGGCGCTAGGGCCAACACGGTGCTGGAGAGGGTGGAGGGGGCCCAGCAGCGCTGGAAGCGCCAGGTGCAGGAGCAGAGGAAGACAGTTTTCGACCGCCACAAGATGCTGAGCTAGATCTTTGCTGAGCTATGCAGCACCACTTCCCAAGAGACTGGCTAGCTCCGCCAGACAAGACGGGCAGCAAGTCATCCTTCAGGACATCCATGGTGTTTGAAAGCTCTGACCCTCTCTGATTTACCGTCTTCACAGAGAGAAGCAGACCAAAATGCTTGCCTCTGGTTTTGTCCCCTTGTCCTTTACCTCTCATCCCAGAGGCTCCTTAAACCTTTGCCCGGCTGAGATCTGCGCTGATTGTTAGCCCTGTGGCTGCATGTAAACAGTCACTCGTATTGACGGGCTGACTGGAGTGGGGGCTGCAGCTCCAGTGCCTGTGTCAGCTGGACCCTGCGGGCACCACTTGCTGGGACTGAAGTCTCCATCAGCCCACCCCCCATCAGAGACAGGGGTCTCGGTATGGGGTGTTGGAAGCTGGCTGAGTTTTCCTGGGATAAAAATAGTGGGAAAATTTTTATGTGGGATAAATCATGTGGCACTCCTCCAGAATGAAGAAGCCTCCTCCTCCTGTTTGTGTGGATGTTAATTGGGCGTCGTAGTGCTGAGACAAGTGCGTTGCACTGGAAGGAAGACGAAGGGCTTCCCTGCCAGCGGTCAGCTGCTGCTTGCACTTACCCTGGTGTAAACGGAGTGGATTTCCACTCTCTTCAGTGGAGTCTGTCCAGATTTACACCAGGATAACTAGATTGCAGCTTGTTTCTGTGTAGGTGAACATGACAAAACTGATTAGTATATTCACAAGTAAGAGACCAACAGGTAAAAGGTTGATTTATATTTACATCTTCCTGCTTTAGCAGTGGATAAAAATATACTGGGGAGAAAGCTTTCTGTTTGTACTCACATTGGTAACCCTTGATGCTCTCACAGTGTGGTCAGGAGCATTTGTGTCCAAGAGAACTGGAGCAATGGCTCTACTGGAGCACTGTAAACACTTGTCTGGGTCTTGAGGCCCTGGAAAGCGGAGGCTTGTGCTACTCAAAACACTCAGAGAGCTCTGACTGTACTTGGGCTGTGTGGAGGAAACTGAAGTGATTCTTCAGTGTGTCTATAAATGTTCTCATTAGGATCAATAATGTCAGGAAGGTGCAGGAGTTTATCGTGTAGTATCTCTGTATTAAATGCAGACAACGATCTATTACGTGGCTGGCTTTTTTTCAGGGAAAAGCCCCATCACACCAGGTCTGGGGCTCCCAGCACTGAGCAGCTGCTCTCCAGCCTTACAGTGCCCAGCAGGCAAGTTGATGCAAGACATCAAGACCGAGCTGTGGTTACGGCACTCAGGTGTTTTGGCACTGCAGGTGAGTCCCCTGGCACTGGTTTGTGACTGTCTTGCTCCAGGAGAGCTGGGCTTAATACACCGGCAAACCAGAGCAGTCCTGCTTGGCACAAGTTAGGGACAAACTGCTCTGAGCTGTCTCATGGGAAGGCCGAGCAGATCAGATTTCCTCGTTTGTTGAAAGCTGAGCAATTGTTGCTAAAACCCTAATTGGGGCGGGGGGGGCGGGGTCGGTCACCCCCTTGCATGCTTGTGGCAACAGCTTGTGATCGAGCTGCCCAGCAGGATCCAGCCCTCCAAGCTGATCCTGTCAGACAAATCTGAACAGAAGCTTTTTGGGGGCTTTGTGCCTGCAGCCTGCGTGTACCCCAGTTACCCTTCAGTACCTCACTGGACTAAAACGTACCCAGCACTTCACGTTATACCGAGGTCACATTTTTCTTTATCCGTCCTTGTTCTGTGGTGCTCAATCGTTGGACCTTTCTCCTCCTTTTAGAAACCTCCTCTTCCTTGTCCTTCCTTCTCGGTGTGAATCCCTCATGGACACAGAGTGCAGTCCCTGAGAAGTGCAGCCCCCCGAGCGGGGGAAAATCTGTTGGAAGGGTCTGAACAGGGGCAGCGGCTGGGCGAGAGCTGCCGCGACTGTCCTGCGAGGGCCGAGCCGGTGCAAGGGGTCCATCTGGTGGCCGGTGGCCCTCTGATCAGCACTGAGACCTCGGTGATCACCGGACCCCTGGCTCCCTGATCTGGAAGGGCGAGGGGTTTGGTGAGCAGCAGCCCCATACTTTCCCCTGACCCTTCCCAGGAACAGCTTCAAAATGGGAGAGGAGAGGAGAAAAAAAAAAATGTAGGTTAGAAAACTCAGATGGGGAAGGGATGGTGTGGAGAGGTTGCAAAAAATGCCGCTGCCTGGTTAATTATTTGGTTTGTTAATTAGCTGATTAGCTTTGTCCTGTACACCATCCTCTCTGGAAGCAAGTGTTTTCTGCTGCCCAGCCTGAGTCTCCCAAGCCTCTGCTCTTCCCCATACCCCCTGCGTTGCTCGCTGGGCATCCCCCAAGCTGGCACAGCCTGGTGGGCCCAGCTCCCGGCCCCATCCAGGTCCCACAGCCATGCCTGCCATCCCTCTGGAGACAGGCAGCAGTGCCAGCAGGAGTCAATAATTTAATTCCTTATCGAAACAGGGAGTGAGAAAAATAAAGGACCTTGTAGTACAAAATCCAGCTGCTTTGGCAACCTGCCACAGCCGTGGTCAGGCGTCTGCTGTGGTCCAGATATCGATGCTCTGGATGATGAGCCACTCGCTTTGGTCCCGGGTTACCCGGATCCTCACACACTCCACGGGGCCAGGCATGGCCCTCTCCAGCCCCCGCCGCTCAAAGGTCCCCTTCTCAAAGGTGCCCACAGTGGTGTAGGCAGAGCAGTCCCGGCCATTGGCCTGCCGCCGCCGGCCCAGCTCCAGGACACCCGCACGCAGGGAATCACCCCGGCGCTCATCAGAGCCTGTGCGCACCCGGACACGGGCGATGCGGGCCGGCTGCTGGAAGACGATAGAGAAGATGCTGGCGGCTGGTTGCTGGGTCTTTCCCCCAAAAATACCCCTCTGCTGTGCCATAAGCCTTGAGGGGCTCATAGTTCTCGAAGACAGACATGCTGGTGAACAAGGCTGCCGGTGGGTTGTCCGGAAGGTCCAAGGCATCAGCCTGGAACTCATCGTCCTCCAGCCGGTTGACAGTGCCCTGGAAGGAGGAGTAGAGGCCCATGTGCTGGAAAAGGGAGGGCTTGAAGCGGATGACGTCCTTCTGGGTGAGCAGGAGGCGGAAGTGGACCAGCAGCCAGTCGCAGGGCATCTCCTGGTAGAAGAGGAGGAGGAAGCAAGCCAGGCGAGGAAGGTCACTGGAGTGGTAGAGCTTACCGATGTAGCCCAGCTTGGAGAATTCAAGGGTGGCCCAGTTGGCACCTTCCTGGGAAGCCAGTGCCTTGCGGATGGCCGTGAAGAAAGACTTGGCGCACCACACATCATCCTCGATCATCAAGTAGTATGAGGAGAGGTTGGCAGCAAAGGCGAGGAGGAAGGCATAGTCTACGTTCTGCTTGGACCTGAACCTCACCCGCTCCTCTGGGTCGTTGTAGTTTCTCTTGAGGCTCTTTAGGGTGGGGTAAAACTGATGGGGAGTGTGGATAAGCAGGAGCCGGCCCAGGAGGATGTGGTGAGCGAACTTGTGGGCGATGTTGGCGGCCACATGCACATTCCATCTGGGGTCTGCGTCAGCCAGGTGCACCACCACCACCATCTCCTGCAGCTCCTCCTCTGTCGACTGCTTGAAGAGGGACTGGAGTGTGGCTGGGAGGTAGTAGCCACGTGGCCGCCGCACTGATGCCAATCCCACCGCCAAGAATTCTGCAAGGCAAACAAGGGCATTAGCAGGCTCAGGGGTGACTTGGGATGCACCAAGGTGCAGTTTTCCCCTGCAAGCCACAAGGAGGGGGCTCCAAAAAAGCTCTTTGCATGGCCAACCTGCACAGTTAACGCTATTTATGGCCCCATGTCCAAGGCCGGCAGGTCCTTTCTAAAGGTGAAGCCCCCAGCATCTCAGGAGGTGCCTAAAATTGGCCTAAATGGCAGGTACAGGACAGAATGAGAAGCCAGGGCTCCTCTGAAGAAGAAATATTTGGGAAAAACACCTTAAAAAAAAAGGCCAGACCTGGGGAAGGAACACTGCAGAGACAGTCTATGGGGCAGACAGGAGCAAAGCATCTACAGCGATGGCTTTGTGGCATGGCATCCTGGAAGCATGGAGCTGCAGCCGCACTGGCATGAGACATCCTTCTGCCCTGTCCGCAGCCCAGCTGTGGCTGCATTTGTTCAGCTTTGCTGCAGCTTCTCTTGCTGCTGGTCTGTGCAGCACCGTGCACATACGGGACCTCTGGTTTCAGTGTGTGCTTGCATGGGGCTGCCCTAAGCTCCTTCCCAGGGTGTTTGCATGTGAATCGCTTTTCGTGCACCTGTCCAAGAGCTTGACCCGCATCTCCCACACTGTGCGGTTGTCCCGGTGGTCCAGCCCCACCATCTCCACCTTCCTGACTAGAGAGCAGGAACTTCACCCCTAGGGAGGTGGGATCTCAGCCACCCTCCCCACAGAGATCTGGGAAACCCAGAATGTCTGCAGTCACCCCAGTCCCAAGGTGCAGAAGCACAGACCACGCTTGGAGCACGCAGACCTTCCTCTACCACTCCACTTTCCCAAACAGAGCAGCAAAGGAGGTCACCAGGTATCAGCAGGTCCCCCATGCCACAAAGGTTGGAAGCAGACCCCTCCCCGCCCCACAGCACCAGTGGTGGGGGAGGTCTGTGCTGGGAGAGATGTGCAAACCCAGAGCCCTGCTCAGTCTGGGGTCCTGGAGCCACTCACTTTTGTGGGGTGACAGGGAGCCAGCGAGGAGGTGGTAGGAGACATTATGGAGTGCAGAGAAGTGCTCCGTGTCCCTGAGGATCTGCTGGGCTCCTTCCGGCTGCAGCATCTGCAGGACTCTGTCTGGGGCCAAGCCCCCAAGCTCCACCTGGATGGGAGCCACAGGCAGGCAGGTCAGACCCCAGAGCCCCATGGACACACATGAGTAAGAGGGAATGACAACAGAGGGATGCAGAAATGAGGGGGAGCCCCTGTTCTGCCCTCCCAGCTCCTGGACTGGGGGAGGCCGAGGTGCACAGGGTGCTCCCAGG